AGAGCCCAATGCCAAATGTGCTAGAGCATGGAAAAAGTATAGAAGATGAAGAACTCAGAAAAACAAAGAGTTGAGTAGAAGAGCCAGTAATGAGTATGCATGTATAAGGAGAAAGGCTCAATGGCAATTTGAGAATGACAGAGCATCGAAAGCCAAATCTGACCCAAAGTTGTTATATAGCCACATCAGGGAGAAGACGACAGTCAAGGACGAGGTAATCAGGCTCAGGAAGGAAGGAAGGAGGGGAGCTTGCAAAGAGTGAACAGCTCAACACGTGATTTAGGGAGGTATTCTCAAAGACAGAAAGGCATCCAGCAAACCGAGGCAGTAGAGTACACCAGCAAGTGTTGGACACAAGACAAACCGGGGAGGTGAAGAAACTGCAATGTTAGATACTTCGAAGGCAGTGGGAACAGATAATATCTCTCCATGGGTTCTGAAAGAGGGCACAGTCTTCAACAAGTCTAATGAAACAAGACAACTGCCAGAGGTGTGGAAGACAGTATTTTTTTTTTCAACAAGTCGGCCGTCTCCCACCTAGGCAGGGTGACCCAAAAAGAAAGAAAATCCCCAAAACGAAAGTACTTTCATCATCGTTCAACACTTTCACCCCACTCATACATAATCACTGTTTTTGCAGAGGTGCCCAGATACAACAGTTTAGAAGCATATATAAAGATACAGTATAAAAAGTGGCCTGAAATATAATAAACTCCCTACAGAATATAATATCAGGGCCCTAATTATATATATACTGTCCTATTACACATTCCTTCAAACTGCCAATATCCCAAACCCCTCCTTTAAAGTGCAGGCATTTCCAGAACTCAAGTCCGGCTATATAAAAATAACTGGTTTCCCTGAATCTCTTCACTAAATATTACCCTGCTCACACTTCAACAGCTCGTCAGGTCCCAAAAAAACCATTCATCTCCATTCACTCCTATCTAACATGCTTATGCACGCTTGCTGGAAGTCCAAGCCCCTCGCCCACAAAACCTCCTTTACCCCCTCCCTCCAACCTTTTCGAGGACGACCCCTACACCGCCTTCCTTCCCCTGCAGATTTATACCCTCTCCATATCATTCTTTGATCCATTCTCTCTAAATGACCGAACCACCTCAACAACCCCTCTTCAGCCCTCTAATACTTTTATTAACTCCACACCTCCTAATTTCCACACTTCGAATTCTCTGCATAATATTCACATCACACATTGCCCTTAGACAGGACATCTCCACTGCCTTCAGCCGCCTCCTCGCTGCAGCATTTACAACCAAAGCTTCACACCCATATAAGTGTTGGTACCACTATACTTTCATACATTCCCTTCTTTGCCTCCAATGATAACGTTTTTTGTCTCCACATATACCTCAATGCACCACTCACATTTTTTCCCTCATCAATTCAATGATTAATCTCATCCTTCATAAACCCATCCGCTGACACATCAACTCCCAAATATCTGAAAACATTCACTTCTTCCATACTCCTTCTCTCCAATGTGATATCCATTTTTTCTTTATCTAAATCATTTGATACCCTCATCACCTTACTCTTATCTATGTTCACTTTCAACTTTCTACCTTTACACATACTCCCAAACTCGTCCACTAACCTGTGCAACTTTTCTTTAGAATCTCTTATAATCACAGTACCATCAGCAAAAAGTAACTGTGTCAACTCCCATTTTGTATCAACTCCCATTTTCTATTTGATTTTCCCTAATTTATTCCCACCCCTCTCCCCAACACCCTAGAATCTTACTTCGTTTACAACCCCATCTATAAATATATTAAACAACCATAGTAACATTACACATCCCTGTCTAAGACCTACTTTTACCGAGAAGTAATCTCCCTCTCTTCTATACACCCTAACCTGAGCCTCACTACCCTCATAAAAACTCTTTACAGCATTTAGTAACTTACTACTTATTCCATATACTTGCAACATCTGCCACATTGCTCCCCTATCCAGTCTATCATATGTCTTTTCTAAATCCATAAATGCAATGAAAACTTCCCTACCTTTATCTAAATACTGTTCACATATATGCTTCAATGTAAACACTTGATCTACACATCCCCTACCCACTCTAAAGCCTCCTTGCTCATCAACTAAACTGCAAGGGTGGAAGACAGCAAATGTAGTCCCAATTTTTAAGGAGAGGCAAGCAGCATTAAACCAGAGACCAGTGTCATTGACATGGATAGTATGTAAAGCCATGGAAAAGATAATCAGAAGCGGTGGAGCACCTAGAAGGAGTGGGTTCATACATGAGAACCAGCACAACTTCAGGGATGGAAAATCCTGTGTAACAAACCTACTGGAGTTCTACGATAAAGTAACAAAAGACAGGAGAGAGTGGGATGGGTAGACTGCATTTTCTTTGACTATAACAAGGCTTTTGACACAGTATTGTAAAACAGATAGGTACAAAAGCTAGAGCAGGCAGGAATAACAGGAAAAACACTGCAATTGATCAGGGAATACCTGATAGGAAGGAAATGAGCGATGGTCTATGACGGTGTTGAAATGGGTACATGTGACGAGTGGGGTTCCACAAGCATCAGTCCTAGGGCCTGTGCTGTTTCTTGTATACACGAATGACATGACAAAATGTGGAGCCAAGGTGTCCCTGTCTGCAGACATGAAACTAATGAGGAGAAAACAAACAGATGAGGATCAGGAAAGACTACAAAGGGATCTGGACAGACTACAAGTCTGGTCTGACAAATGATTCCAGGAGTTTAACCCTACCAAGTGCAAAGTTATGAAGCTTGGGGAAGGACAAAAAAGACTGCAGACACAGTACACAGTACATGGTACAAGCTTAGGGGTCAAAGGCTACAAACTTCACTCTAGGAGGACTTTGGGGAGAGTGTCAAACATGTGAACCTAATATAATTGCTGCAGCATATGAGTGCCTGATAAATCTAGGAATAGCATTTTGAAATCTTAGTAAGGAGTCATTCACGACACTGCATATCAGGCTCATATTGGAGTATGCAGCACCAGTATGGAACTCACACCTAGTCAAGCACATTAAGAAATTGGAGAAAGTGCAGAAGTTTGCAAAAAGACTAGAACTGGAGCTAAGGGGTGTGTCCTATGAGGGGAGATTAAGGGACTTAATCTGATGACACTGGAAGACAGGAGAGATACGATAACAATGTACAAAATACCGAGAGGAACTGACAGATGAACAGGGACAAACTGTTTCAGAAGAAAGGATCTAGTAACAAGGGGGCCAACTGGAAGTTGAGAAGTCAGATGAGTCATAGGGATGCTTGGAAGAATTTCTTTAGCCTTTGAGATATTAGGAAGTGGAACAATCACGAGAGTGAAGTAGTGGAAGGAGGATCCATATATAGCTTTAAGAAGAGGTACAATAAAGCTCTTGAAGCTGGGAGTGAACCTTGTTTCAGCAGCAGAGGCAGGGCCAGGAGCTGTGACTTGAATCCTGCAATCACATATAGGTGAATACACCCACACATGCACCTCTGTGCATACACCCACATACATACTCACATGTGCTCACACACCTGTGCAAATACACCACACTTGCTCATACCTAGCGCCCTCATGCTCACACCTAGCTCCCTTGTGTTCATCTCGTGTTTGCTCCCATTCAGTGCTTATAATGTCCCATACCCCTCCCACCCCTAGGTAGGATACTGAATCGACACTAAACCCATAGGGCTTGTACAGTGCTTATGAAATGCAAGACAATAAGATTTATTTAGATTTTTAACCCCAGAGGGTTAGCCACCCAGGGTAAACAAAAAGTGTCAGTGCATCATCAAGGACTGTCTGTCTTATTTCTAATGTGGTCCTTTAATCTTGTCCCTCAGGATGCAACCCACAACAATCAACTATTACCCCAGGTACCTACTTGCTTGCTAAGTGAACAGGGGCAACAGGTGTAAGGAAACACGCCCAATGTTTCCACCTGGCCGGGGATTAAACCACGGACACTCAGTGTGAATCGAGTGCGTTGCCTACCAAGCCACAGGCCACTCAGGTTTGATCCAGATGGATTGTAGTTTCATTCTCTTGGATCAAGAACTCTTCATCAACACTCTCCTTGAAGGGTAACTGATGTATAACAACAATACATGTACTCACAATGTTTTTAACACTGGTCATCTCCCACTAAGGTAGGGTGGACTGATACAGAAGCACTTCATCGGCCCTCATTCACTGACATTACAGTTTAGAGTCCCCTCCAAACTGCAACACCTCCAACCCTCCTTCAAATTGTAGGCACTGTACTTTCCACCTTTAGGACTCAAATCCAGCTAACTGGTTTCCCTGAATCCCTTCATAAATGTTGCCATGCTCACATTTCAAAACCATGTCAAATCATGAAAAACTACTTGCCTCGACTCACTCCTAACAAGCCCACACAAGCCTGTTCGATACCCAAGCCCCTAGCACTCTCACCCACTTTTACCCCTCTCCTAGGATGACCCCTACTCCTCCTTTCCTCTGCCCCAGATTTAAGGACCCTCCTTGTCACAATCTATGGAAGTAAAATAAGTTAACATTGCCACACTACCCACACCACACACAAAGCTCTTCGATGCAGTCAGCTGCCTGGTAAAGCTTCTACATGGTGCATTTTTTTTTTTTTTGTAATATGAGTGAAAAAGTCTATTGAAAATTGAACACTACGTGCTATAAGGCCTTTCAGTTTTGGATGTATTTTTTCAGTTGCAATTATGAACAATTACACCATATGAAGAAGCTTCATAAGACAGCTGACTGTATTCAGAAATTATAAAGAATAAAAAAGGCACAATACTGTGACTGGAACAATACACAAATAACCCACACACAAGACAGTGGAACTTATGACCACTTTCTCCTCTTGTTCCACTACTCCCAGCCTAGTTAATGGTCCAAGTTGGGCTGAAACATCATCTTAAGTTTCATTCTCCTGTGTGCAGGATGTGTTCAGATATTATATAAAGATTTTAAATGAAACAAATTCATCTCTCATAAGTTATCATATATTTAAAATTAAATGCCTGAGAAAAAAAAATGTGAAGGCTCATCCAACATGAAGAGTGAATTACACCATTTCAACTTTTATTTTCTTTGAGTGGCTCAATATTAATTTTCTACAGTATGCAGATTCATGGGTTACAACTGGATATATAAAACAAAGTTGAAAGTAGAAAACAGATTAACAATCTGTACATATTTTGGCACTTCCTAAGAGACAAAATCTTAATTTATAAATTATTTACAAATTTCTAGTAATTTTTACAACCACAAAATTTATAAATTTCCTTATAAATAAATCAAAGTATACAAATGGTATTATATATATACATATATAAAACTGAAAGATATAAATGGTCTTTATTATGAAGGCTGCCATAACTTCGTCAAAACTAGTGGCACTGCATTATACTTGGAGTATACCTGGATTAATATTATAATAAAGAAGCAGTACTAAACCACAAGGGCTGGAGCATATCTGGAGAGGGTTTCGGGGGTCAATGCCTCTGCAGCCCAGTCCATGACCAGGCCTCATGGTAGATCCACCAAGTTGTTACTGCCGGTCACATGCAGACCAACGTACAAACCACAGCCCAGCTGGTCAGGTACCGACTTTAGGTGAACAATCTTGGGTCCCTGACACTTACTGTTATCTCTAAATGTACCTGTGGCACCTTTGATTTTCACTGGGGGGATGTTGCACTGCCTGCCAAGTCTTTTGCTTTCGTATGGAGTGATTTTCATGTGCAGATTTGGAGCTAATCCCTCTAGGATTTTCCAAGTGTATATTATCATGTATCTTTCTCACCTGCATTCCAGGGAATACAAATCAAGGGACTTCAACAGTTCCCAGTAATTTTGGTGCTTTATTGTATTTATATGTGCCATGAAAGTTATCTGTATATTCTCCAGATCTGTGATTTCACCTGCCTTGAAAAGGGCCGTTAGTGTACAGCAATATTCCAGCCTAAAGAGAACAAGTGATTTGAATAGAATCATTATGGGCTTGGCATCTCTAATTTTGAAGGTTCTCATTATCCATCCTATCTTTTTCCTAGTAGATATGATAGTGGCATTGTCGTGATCTTTGAAAGTGAGATTCTCTGACACTATCACTCCTAGGTCCTTCACATTAGTTTTTTGCTTTATACTCTGATCCAAATTTTATTTCCCCAAGTTTTCCATAGCAGAATAATTGAAATCTGTTTTCACTGCAGTGTCTCCAATGGATGACACTGTCATTCAAATTCAGGTATCAACAGTTGCTTACAGAAACTTTCACGGTGAAGGTAAAAACATTCTTTTTGTTGCACTCATTGATGGTTCTATTCTTGGGACACCTTAACCCTTTAACTGTCGCAACCCCCAATCCTGAGGTGTCTCCTGGAGTTGCAAAATTTAAAAAAAAAAAAAAAAAAATTTTTCTTATGAAATGATAGAGAATCTTTTCCCGATTGTAATGACACCAAAAAACGAAATTTGATGGAAAACTGATGGAATTATGCTCTCGCGAAGTTAGCAACCTCGGCGCTGTTTATAAATCGGCAATTTTGCCCACTTTGAGCCCTATTTTCGGCTAATTCCGTTGTTCCAGTTACCCAAACTCATAGCTAATTCTTTAGAACTCCATTTTTTCTATCGATTGAGTACAAAAACTGCCCATTTACCAATTTCAACTACCTAATAATGTGGTCAGACATTTGCAATTTGGCCAATTTCATGAAAACTAAAAAATATGACAATTTCAAAATAAGGTCCAGAATGAACAATGCAGACATTCCTGGCTCTAAAATAACATTTTCTTTGCTCATCAGTCATGTCTCCAGGCCCCTCTGATATTACTCTTGCTTTCTATTTTGAATTTTTATTCAAACAAAAAATAGAAGACTTACTATTATGCAGACTACTGCAATAATTGTATAAAATAACATCAACCCATTCATAACTGCATATTAGAATGGCTAGTTGGACATTTATTGGACAATGGCATCATTTGTTTACTTTTGAACATTGGCAAAAATCAAACATTTCCCCTACTTTGAGCTCCATTTCTATGTTCTTTTTATAATAAAATCAATCAAAATCACCTCTATTTCTATAATATGTTTTCCATTCTATCAAATGAGACCAAGAAAACTAGAATACAACCATAAATACTATACGAAAATAGATCACAAAGTCGGCATTTTAATTAAAAAAAAAAAACGGCTGGAGTTTTTTTTTTCTCATTATGCACTGCGCACTCCAGGATTTTTTTTATATGGTGCACACTGACCGCACAGACCCATTCTCTCACATGTGGGCCTACCAGCTTTCTCCTGTGTGATTTGAAGCCGCTAGAATTTATGAGTATATATACGTCAAACACGGTACCTCGTAAGACGTATATATACGGCCGCGACAGTCAAAGGGTTAAGCGGCAGCCACACTTTCTTCCCCTTCACACTGCCTTAACTATGAAAGTATTTTCTTGTCTAATATAAATGTTCTTACTATTGTCTATCTCTTTCTTCTACCTTTCTTTCTCACTAATGTTCTTTGAGACAGTGCTCATTCTCACTACACATCTTTGTTACTCCCTGCAAGTGACAGGTAGCTGATTCACTTGTGTAACAGCCAAACCAACATGTGGAATATTTTGACAAAATGTTCAAAAGTTTTTGACACTTAAATGCAATTAAAATATCTTGAAACAATTCTACATTTGATCAATCAGTAAGGAAAGAAAAATTCATAGATATAATTACCAATTTTGCCTTAAAAACTACTAGAATGAAAATTTTGTTGAGTCAATGTTGTTATTTTTAGTTATCTTTTATATAAGAAATTATTTAAGCAATTAACTAGGCAACTTACATTTAGAAAAAATATAGAAGACACTGATAAATTAATAGTCTACATTTTTAGCTTGTTATAATGGTGAGAATCTTCAGAAACTTCAGTTCCACTGCAGACACCTATTGTACTTAAATATAGAATTAAAGCTTATACAGAACTTGGGATATCTCTTATCTACCAGTAAATATACTTTATATATCTTCATCAGCTTATAATAATTCATGATTTTGTCCACACAAAGCAGACATAACTGGCTTTCAAAATTTATAGTGGATACTCTTGGTCACAATGGGTCGTTTAACTTCTAAATAACTTGCTCTTTCTCTCTTGCCATCAAAAAAAGTGTTTGAATATTCTGCGACTGGATGCCAAGATATCACAAATCAGGTGGCGATATTTCAGCCCAGTACCTGTTGCCATCTAGCAACCAAAGTGAAAACTATTTCCTGCTCAAGACAATGCATATTTTACTGATTTTCATTATAAATTGTGTAATATATGAATACTGTAATACAGTACTTCTTCTTCTTTCTTTCAACACACTGGCTGTATCCCACCGAGGCGGGGCGGCCCAAAAGGAAAAACCAAAGTTTCTCCTTTTACATTTAGTAATATATACAGGAGAAGGGGTTACTAGCCCCTTGCTCCCGGCATTTTAGTCACCTCTTACAACATGCATGGCTTACGGAGGAAGAATTCTGTTCCACTTCCCCATGGAGGAATACAGTACTTATGTAAGTGATATAATAGGTGTTAAATAAAAATATATACAGAAAAGTGAAATAAAACTGCAAATTTAATCACATTATAAGAAAAAATCAACTTGTTACAGGATAAACTTTAATATTCAATTTTTGTGTGTTTACTCAATGTAACAATAACCAAAATGTAAATATCTGAAAAGAATAAATCCCTAAAAAATGTCCCTCAAAAATTAATTTTTTATACAATTAAAGGGATTATAAAATAACATACAGTATATGTATTTTTTGTATTTGAATGAAATAATAGGGCCAGGAATACTTGTAGCTACATTTTAAATACCTAAATCAACAGAAACTAAAAAGATAAATTTTAACAAATTACTTTTTGCTAGATATTTCATTTTAAGGAAAGTAAGTGCAAGATATGGAAACCTTATGGTCTCTTTCTAATAAAAAAAAAAAAAACATAATGGATACTTTATTTTTGTAAAGAAGAGCCACTTGCTGGAAACTAACTGGGTGATACATGTGATGAAAGGGTTAAAATTTCATCAACCTTCAGTTGGAGAAAAAATCCAGATATTTGAAAAAATAGGTATTTGAAAAAATATTTATGCTAACAAAGCCATTTTGCAAGGAATTCTCTATCATTTTCAGACTTTTCTAATTCATTGCTGTGTTTCTTCTTATTAATGTATGACACTTGAACCCTTTCCTGCTGTATCTGTAACCAATTACAAGACATCTTTTCCAGAAAATTGACAAGAGACCAGGCATCATTGTTAACTACCTGGTCATTGAGGTTGTTGTAACTAATGACCTACAGGACTGAATACTGACTGAAGCACAACTGATCAGTAAGACACACATGGGTATTGTCACTGCAGCAGGAACCATCAATATAACAGGTCAGCCATCAGTGATCCAGCAATCACTAATCCAGATCTAGAGATCTGGTGAAGGAACAATCCAAAATTTCTCATGAAGAATTAGCTGTTAGGTTAAGTGTACTCTAACCTAACCACTCTGTGATCCAGCAAAATTACTAATCAGGCACCCTACAGGTCTCAATAATGCCAGAGTAGTGATGACTGACCTGTACAAAAGATTCACAAAATCATAATGATTTTAAAAGCCTCTTCAGTTTGGCGAGTTAATATAGAAATATAAAAACAGCAACTTTTATGGTCACTATCCTCATGCCACTGTATTAAAGTGATCAATTCTGCTGTATAAGTAACATTTCTCAAAAAGCATATCCACGTATCATACTAATCAGTTAGTATGTACTCATGCAAGTCACTGGTAGTACCAGCCAGAATGACCAGGAAGTTAACAATGAAACTTAGCCTCAGGTTGGCCTTCTGGATTAGATTTCTTAAAACCAGTTCCATGTACAGTATGGCATGGTCCAGGTGCTGCACATATGTCTTATTGATCAACTTGTTTACATTATTTACTAAATTTGAAAAGAGAAACTTTTTTCTTTTTGGGCCACTCTGCCTCGGTGGGATACGGCCGGTTTGTTGAAAGACAAGAAGTTTACATTATACCATTAATGAAGCAGACCATTCACCTTTTTCTGAATCTATCAGTTTCAATCTTCCCTCCCTCTCCTTTCTATTAAAGAAATGCTTCAAGTTTCACCACAAGACACTGACTACTAGCTTTTCATGCAAAGAAGGAATATGTCCATACAATCACATACAGACTTTCAATAATAATAAGTTAAATACTCTATAACAGAATTATACAGTTATATAGAGATGAATCCCATGTAATTCTGTAGAAAAAACTGAAAACCTATATTTATGGTACCATAATGACAACATATTCTTTCAAGACTTAGTTATTGTAGGTAATCTCTCTCTCATTTAGAGCTCATTATAGAAAAATATTGAAGCGTCTGTGTACAGCACACAGTAAGCGAGCACACTGAATGTCAATGCAATGAATTAAAGTTACAGTAATTTTGTATTGGTACAGTAGATGATCAATTGTGTGGTGATCAGTTATTTGGCATCCAATATCATTCAACAGTGCTATTCTTACTGAGCACCTGCACAGAAAATGGAGACAAAGAATGTGCAAACCCTAGGAACCATCCGCCAAAAACCTGCTATTAGGAGAGGAACTTCACGATTCTTTGGTGTATCCAAGGACTGAAATCTCATCATACAGTCCCTCTTCTAAGTTCAGCTTTTAGGCCAAATATTCAAGTCATGGTACTGAATGTTTATTCTTAATAGGAACCTTACAACAATGTTACCAATATTTGGTGATTTTGAAAATCTGTTCACCCCTTCCTCAATGGCTCCTATTAATCAATGATCTACAGTATATACCATAGCATCACTTGTACTGCTAGATGGAGAGACAGTTTCATTAGAAATGATGTAGTGAATTGCTAGGAACCTTATGATTCAAAATGCAATGTAAATTATGCTATTTTAATATAAATTATCACACACTCCATATATTATTCAGTAGTAATGCACTAAAAAGTACAGCATGAAATGTTTAGAGTATTCAAATGCATCAACAGTAATAATTATAAATATTATTGATGACAAAAAAAAAAAGTTTCAGTTGATACTTAAGTTACATCACTGTTATATTTATACACAAAGAAAGCACTTTAAAGTGTGTATAATTTAGTATACTTGTGTTACATGATTATAGAAAAAAATAGAAAGCACTAAACCCATATGGGACATTCAGCATACCTTTGTTACAATAAAAGCCTAAGACACCTCACAATTGAGTGTTAAAATATGGGTATATAATGTAGTGCAATTCTTACAACATTACTGCTGCTGTGTACCACACATGACAATCTAAATAACAGAAAAACAGGTCAATATTTACTTTAGTGGCTCATATAAATATGGATACTTATACCTTTAATGAGTTTTGAGTTTTTTCACCACAGCTGACCCTGGGCTAGGATTACTAAGTAATTCTGCAACATTAAGTGGGTTTTGCAATATAGCTAGTTATACAGCATGTTTCAAAATGATGAACCGAATTTCAAAGCAGTATATTTCATGACTGGGACTATCTTGCTGAAACACCCTGCATTTTGGGCCTAAAGGAAAAAAAAGCTGCTTAGTCCATCACCAAAAACAAAAAGAACACCACCTAGATTTTGAGTTAAATTCTATAGTTTTTATTCAGCTACCAAAAGAACTTTTCACCCCAGGCCCAAAATATAACTCTTTCCATTGCACAACCCACTGAATATTGTAGACTTCTGAGCAGCTACAGTACATATTGAACGTAAAACCTCAAAATGCTATTTCTAACAAGACTCATGAAATTGTAATAACACAATTGTAAATAAACCACGGAATGGGTGGGGTTTGAACCCAAACCGAGGGAGTTGTAAAACTCCAGGCCAGTGTATAAGCCACTAGAGCAGCTGGCTACAATACGATTCACCTAATTAGCTATATTTCTATACACCATAGGAAGGTTAGCATGGGCTACCACTGTCACCACAAATGCAAGTTTTTACACACGAATCCCATGCTGGCGGGAGATTCTTCTGTAAAAACTTGCATTTGTGGTCATAGAGGGGTCCATGCTAACCTCCGTAAGGTGTATAAATACACCTAGTTTGATGAATCTTATTGTAGTCAGGTGTTCCAATGATTTACACACTGGCCTGGAGTTTTAAGACCCCATCCATAACATGGTTTACATTCTTAACAATTCATGCACATGAAAGATGTTTACTGCAAAATCCACATTATTATACACTGTTATTTATAAGCTGTCACCTAACTCTGTTGAGTAGCTTAAGTATATATTGACCATAAAATAGATTATCTATTCCCACCCAGAGGAACACCATACCATTAAGGAGGAAAACAGCAAATGCAGGTTTGTTTTATTAGGAACACTTAAAAACAAGTTGCAATACAATCACAGTTTGGTTCCCTGGCTAAAGATCACCTTTCAGTAAGTGCTAAGATTTGTTAAATAACTCCACTCACCAGAATAATTAATTTTAAATCCTAGAAATCTTCATAAAATAATTTTCTTTCAATTTTCAGTATTAATTTCAAAAGCTGATAAGGTCCATTACAGTTTCTGTGGTAGAAGTCTCAGGCTGCCTCACAGAATTTGTTATCACTGCATCCTGGGGTTCCTGTCTCCCTAGATTAAATGTTTGTCCTTTGTTAACACCTTTGCCTTTTTTCACTCTGTTGAGTTCTTTATCCCTCAAAATTGGGACTCCATACTCAGAGTGCAGTTGTGCAAATGTCCGTTTGTTAATGGTTATGTGAGCCACAGATGGTGGTGGTGGTGGTGCAGGGCGCTGAGGGATTGTTGAAGGTGTGAGGTAGTGCCCTCCTCCTCCTGATACAGTATTAGCTCTCATGCGCATTGCCAAGCAAGGGTCTAGGGTAACTTCATTAGAACTCTGTGGATAAATTAAACATGAGCTCAAAAATCAAAACAATTCCAGGTACTGTAAAGAAATACTATACATTACTAGTACACTAGGTTAGGCTTTCAGTAACACATCCATCATTCACCCTGTACGGACTGAAACGTCGTCGTAAGCTTCTCTCTTTTATGTGCGGGTTATTTGTGTATTGTATATTCACTCTGATATTGACCAGAAATTAGAAAATGGTAAAAAAAAAAAAAAGTCACATTAATTGGCAAAGTAGAACATAAACTATACTGAATCTCAATAAACCCAAAACTGGAATGAGATGCTCCTATTTCTGGAGAAATTCCTAATTATGTACGTCTGAAGCTAAGAATTTGGCTGACTAGAACAAAGGAATTAGCTTAAAACAAGACTCAAAGTCAGTGAAATCATCAGTGCATAAACTGCGCTGAGCCTGCTAACTTTGCGCTGATATAATTCTTTTAAGTTTTCTATTAAATTTCATACTCTTGGTGTCATTATCTACTATATCAGAAGATTTTTTATTTATTTAATTTTTTATTTACTTATTTTTTTCTTTTGGCATTGAGAGCAAGTTTTATTTTGAAGGTCTGGACAATGAAAGGGTTAAGGGGGTTTGGGACATCCTATAAGTCTAGACTGTATTTCTGTAATTTTGAAACTGTACTGACATTAAAGCTTGCACCTGATTTTCCTAGGTAAGTATATTAAATTTGGGCATATGCTCCCTCGATCTTCAAACTGTACCACAAACGTCTAGCAGCTGTAACAGAGTAAAGAGCATGTGTACCAGTTATTGATGAACGATGTACGTATGCCTCTTACCAATATACCTGGAGGGAGTTCCAGGGACAAACACCCCAGCTCCATTTTCTTGACTATATCACCAGATAAAGAAAGTTGAAAGTGAACATAGAAAAGAGAAAGGTGATGAGGGTATCAAATGATTTAGATAAAGAAAAGTTGGATATCAAATTGTGGAGGAGTATGGAAGAAGTGAATGTTTTCAGATATTTGGGAGTTGACGTGTCAGCGGATGGATTTATGAAGGATGAGGTTAATCGTAGAATTGATGAAGGAAAAAAGGTGAGTGGCGCGTTGAGGTATGTGTGGAGACAAAAAACATTATCTATGGAGGCAAAAAAAGGAATGTATGAAAGTTTAGTAGTACCAACACTCTTTTATGGTTGTGAAGCTTGAGTTGTAAATGCCGCAGCGAGGAGGCGGTTGGAAGCAGTGGAGATGTCTGTCTAAGAGCAATGTGTGGTGTGAATATTATGCAGAAAATTCGGAGTGTGGAAATTAGGAGAAGGTGTGGAGTTAATAAAAGTACAGTGGACCCCACCTTACGATGGCATCGCGTTAAGTTAAATCCGCCATACAATACATTTGAACGCAAAAAATTTGCCTCGCCTCACGCTAAAAAACTTGCCTCACACGATTTGCTGGGACGCATCCCACGTGTGGCCTCAGCACCAGTGTTTACAAGCCAGCCATTGTGGTCACATCCGCACATACATTCGGTATATTTCACCTTATCCCAGTGTTTTTGTGCTTGTAACTGCAAAATAAGTCACCATGGGCCCCAAGAAAGCTTCTAGTGCCAACCCTGTGGTAAAAAGGGTGAGAATTAGTATGGAAATTAAGAAAGATTTTGAAGGGTTTGGGGTTAACCCTGAGAAGCCTATGCAAGTTGTGGAATCCATTGTGCCTACTTCAAAGATTAAGGAAATATGTGCAAAGTGGGTTGAACTGCAAACCTTTATGGATGAAAAGCACCCAAACACAGCTATTGCAAGCCATAGTGGTGACTATTACAATGACAATGTTGTGGCCCATTTTAGGCAAATCTTAAAGGAACGGGAGGTACAAAGCTCTATGGACAGATTTGCTGTGAGACAGAGGTCCAGTGACTCTCAAGCTGGCCCTAGTGGCATTAAAAGAAGAAGGGAAGTAACCCCAAAAAAAGACTTGAAACCTCAAGTCCTAATGGAAGGGGATTCCCCTCCTAAACAATAACAACTTCCACACTCTCCCCTCCTCTCATCCCATCAATCATCACCAGATCTTCAATAACAGTAAGTGTCATGTATTGTATTCTTAGTAGAGTATTAATTGTGCATGCCTTCTTAAGTTTGTGTGTATTAAAATTAATATTTCATGTGGTAAATTTTTTTTTTTATACTTTTGGATGTCTTGCACGGATTAATTTGATTTCCTTTATTTTTATGGGGAAAATTAATTCGCCATAAGATAATTTCAGCTTACGATGAGCTCTCATGAACGGATTAATATCGTAAGGCGGGGGTCCACTGTGTTAGTCAGAGGGCTAAAGAGGGGTTGTTGATGTGGTCTGGTCATTTAGAGAGAATGAATCAAAGTAGAATGACATGGAGAGCGTATAAATCTGTAGGGCAAGGAAGGCAGGGTAGGGGTCATCCTCGAAAAGGTTGGAGGGAGGGGGTAAAGGAGGTTTTGTGGGTGAGGGGCTTGGACTTCCAGCAAGCGTGCATGAGCGTGTTAGATAGGAGTGAATGGAGATGAATGGTATTTGGGACCTGACGAGCTGCTGGAGTGTGAGCAGGGTAATACAGTGGACCCCCGCTTAACGATCACCTCCCAATGCGACCAATTATGTAAGTGTATTTATGTAAGTGCGTTTGTACGTGTATGCTTGGGGGTCTGAAATGGACTAATCTACTTCACAATATTCCTTATGGGAACAAATTCGGTCAGTACTAGCACCTGAACATACTTCTGGAATGAAAAAATATCGTTAACCGGGGGTCCACTGTATTTAGTGAAGGGATACTTGGGAGCTGACATGTCGGCGGATGGATTTATGAAGGATGAGGTTAATCATAGAATTGATGAGGGAAAAAAGGTGAGTGGTGCGTTGAGGTATATGTGGAGTCAAAAAACGTTATCTATGGAGGCAAAGAAGGGAATGTATGAAAGTATAGTAGTACCAACACTCTTATATGGGTGTGAAGCTTGGGTGGTAAATGCAGCAGCGAGGAGACGGTTGGAGGCAGTGGAGATGTCCTGTTTAAGGGCAATGTGTGGTGTAAATATTATGCAGAAAATTCGGAGTGTGGAAATTAGGAAAAGGTGTGGAGTTAATAAAAGTATTAGTCAGAGGGCAGAAGAGGGGTTGTTGAGGTGGTTTGGTCATTTAGAGAGAATGGATCAAAGTAGAATGACATGGAAAGCATATAAATCTATAGGGGAAGGAAGGCGGGGTAGGGGTCGTCCTCGAAAGGGTTGGAGAGAGGGGGTAAATGAGGTTTTGTGGGCAAGGGGCTTGGACTTCCAGCAAGCGTGCGTGAGCGTGTTAGATAGGAGTGAATGGAGACGAATGGTACTTGGGACCTGACGATCTGTTGGAGTGTGAGCAGGGTAATATTTAGTGAAGGGACTCAGGGAAACCGGTTATTTTCATATAGTCGGACTTGAGTCCTGGAAATGGGAAGTATAATGCCTTCACTTTAAAGGAGGGGTTTGGGATATTGGCAGTTTGGAGGGATATGTTGTGTATCTTTTTATGTATATGCTTCTAAACTGTTGTATCCTGAGCACATCTGCAAAAACAGTGATAATGTGTGAGTGTGGTGAAAGTGTTGAATGATGATGAAAGTATTTTCTTTTTGGGGATTTTCTTTCTTTTTTGGGTCACCCTGCCTCGGTGGGAGACGGCCGACTTGTTGAAAAAAAAAAAAAAATCAGGGAAACCGGTTATTTTTATATAGCCGGACTTGAGTCCTGGAAATGGGAAGTACAATGCCTGCACTTTAAAGGAGGGGTTTGGGATATTGGCAATTTGGAGGGATATGTTGTGTATCTTAATACGTATATGCTTCTAAACTGTTGTATTCTGAGCACCTCTGCAAAAACAGTGATTATGTGTGAGTGAGGTGAAAGTGTTGAATGATGATGAAAGTATTTTCTCTTTGGGGATTTTCTTTCATCTTGGGGTCACCCTGCCTCGGTGGGAGACAGCCGACTTGAAAAAAAAAAAAAATCACCAGAGACTCCCAGTAATTTCTGTATGTTTTCCATTGTTATTTGTCCTGTCTAGACAATCAAATTGATGACAATACCACTCTTGCAATCACATATGATGAACAGTTTGATACCAAAACAATTTTGTTTGATTGGTACGTACTGTCTGAATGATAGCCATCCCTTGAACAAAATTAAAGACTCATCAATCACAGTATTTTGGAATGGCTAGAAAAACTCAAATACATGAAAACTTCCTTGCTGTTAAATAACATATCTTTCTTGTTGGGATTTGCCTTGTCAGAAAAATGCAACATACACAGCAGCACCAGAAATCTGTTTCGAGGAATAAGGTCACCAAACGCTGGAGTACATATGAGTCGTCATCTTGTCCAATGTTTAAGCAATATTGTTCTTATGTACATGTGACAAGAGCATAATAGTGGCATGGAACAGATACATTTCTGCCATGGTAGTGTCCTTCCATTCCTACAGATTCAGTGTGTTGAAACATATGTGTTTGTCATTGTAAACTTGTGATGTACACTTGTTTCTTTGTTGCATAATAAACTTATCAAAGAACATCTCAAAAAAAAGTTCCTGAGAGAATGTGCTATGATAACACTGTTTCCATTATCATAATGTGGATTAGGAACAAATGAGTCGTCTTCCTACCATTCCATTTGTGGTCTGGTGGCAGTAGTGTTGTTGGTGGTGACTGAGGTGTAAAGGGGGTGTTTGGAATGGTGGGGGTTGTCAATGTGATGCAGCTGGCAGTGTCTGGGATGGTGGTGGTGATTGTGGTGCAGCTGGATCTGTTTAGGATAATGATGGTGTTTGGGCTGGTAGTGGTGGTTAATGTGATGCAGCTGGTGGTGTTCGGGATGGTGACTGTGCTGCACCTGGTGGTGTCTGGGATGGTGGTGGTGACTGTGAGTACATACAAATTTTATTTTCTGAGTATGTGCCAGTTAACCCTTCCAGTGGCCATTACAGAACTATGTAACTGAGGCCAGGGTCCCTGATGTAGTTATACATCATGAGCTCAGCTCACTCAGATGAGCTGTGAGCAGTAAATTTTGGCCTAGATATGAGAGAATGGGTCTGTGCAGCGAGTGTGCACTGTATGAAAAATATCCTACCCCACATCGTGCATGATGGGAAAAGCAAAACTCTGACCATGTGTTTGGTTTAAAGTAGTGATGTTGAGGTGTTTTTTAGGATTTTTTTTTATAGTTTTACTGACTGTTTCTTATATCATATAATAGAATGGAAGACACATTGGTTGACTGGTTTCAGGACCAGGAGTAGCCTGAAATTTGGCTTAAATTAGCAGAAATATTAGATTTTTGCCAATTTTCCTAAGGATGAATGAGTGTCTCCCTATACCCCCAGTCTGTTTTATGGGTTTTTAATAAGTCTGATTCAATTACTGGGATGCTATAAACCATGACTAATTGTTCCTGCTTATATTTTACTATCATGAAAATAGATTATATCTTCTATTTTTGTGTGATTGTGAATTCAAATCTGAAGGGAATGTAATAAATGAACTGAGGAAATGTTCTAGTGCCAATAATGTCTAAACAGTTTATTCTACACTTTATTTTTAAATTAGTATTTTTTAAATTTGTGTAAAATTGGCCAAGTTACCAACTTATGTGCACTTTATAGGGTAGTTGTAATAGTTGAATGGGCAGCTTCTTTTGTTCACTTCATAGAATGGAAGGTATATCAACAGTATAGTGAAATGGAGCAATGGAATTGACTTAAAATAGGACCAAAGTCGGTGAAATTGCTGATGCATAAATTGTGCCCAGACTATTAAATTTGCACCTGCATAATTCCATAAAAATTTGTACTTCTGGTGTCATTATCTTCAGAAAGATTCTCTACCATTTCAAAAAAAATTTTTTTTTAAGTGGATATTAATTTTGGGAATCTCGACAGGGAATGGGCTAAGAAGCTAATGCTGCTACTGCTGCATCATTTTTTAACTATTTTAGATGTGTGACACAGCACATTATCATACTGGAAAATTCTGCAGCCATAAATGTCAAAACTGAATTTCAGGTTATTCTTTAGTACTTCAATATACTGTATCCCATTCATTTTTTGTTTTAAGGAAGTAAGAAGAGGACTGCCCTTCCCTTCACATTACTAAAAGTGCCCCACACCATAACTTTAGGCATGTACACAACTACCAGATGCACGAAACAAACAAACCTGAGCAGATGGTCTGCACTAGGAAAACATCTTGCCTCCTTTTAATCAGGGTCGTGGAGTCGGCACATAAAACCTTCAACTCCGACTCCTTTGTTTATGGCACATCCGACTCCTTTAACTACATTTGACTGACTTCAACTCCAACTCCAGTAACCTAAGAACTGCTTCCCACTCTGGCTCCAACTCCAACACCACAACCTTGATTTCAATTCTTGATAATTATATCTAGACGCAGAGGGCAAGGTTTATTTCTGACACTGTATAATACTAATACAGATCATACTATACCCTGCAATTCACAAGCATATAAAGAACCAGAAGTTATTAACAAATACAGCAAACAAGCATACCTGGGTTCTGTTAAAGGGGTTTTGTCGTTGGCGGTGAGGTGCCTTGGGAGGGTGAAGGCTGTCATCTTCACCACCGCCTCCCTGGGCCTGCTTTTCTGCATCTGGAAATTTAGAAATATCATAGTAATTAACTACAAAAATATAATGTTATGCTAATTACAGCAGGCTGATCAATGATCATTTTGGAAGTTACAAAATGCACTATGTACTACAGTACATGCTTATCATCATAAATAAAAAGATTTACAGTGAAGTATTTGGAGATTTGATTTAAAGCTTTAAAAGTAATTTAGTTTTTCTATGTAATGGCCTTTGCCTATGAAGCTCTTTAAAAAAGAGGAACTACAGGACAGTACTACAGAGTTACAATTCATCAAGATGTGCTCTTGTTATGGAGTCAACATGCATCTTCAACAATCTCTCAATGTTCAGGAATACAAATTACAAACAAATTATGAAATAAATTTAAAAAAATTACAAATGTGGAAGAAACTGTAATGTGGTTTATAATTCTTAGGTAAGCTATACAAAGCTAACAATGCCTTACAATACTTAATACTGGATATTTAATACATATACAGTGGAACCTCGATTTTCATCTTCAATTCGTTCCAGAAAGTCTGACAAAAACTGAATTTGACGAAAACTGAAGCAACATTTCCCATAAAAAAATAATGTAAATCTAATTATCTGTTCCAGACACCCAAAAGTATTAGCAAAAAATACATTTTACAGAGATTAACTAGAGTTTTACATACAAAAAACAATGATAAATAAATATAAAGGACTAATGAAATGGATAAATGAGCATTTAACATAGCTTTTACCTTTACTGAAGACTTTTGTTGGTGTATGGAAGACAGCGAGGAGGGGAGAGGGAGGAGAGGTTATTGTTTGTCCATAAGGACTTCAGGTATCAAGTCCCTATCTGGGGTTACTTCCCTTCTTTGCCTTTTATTGGCACTAGGACCAGCTTGAGAATCACTGGACCCCTGTCACACAAAAAATCTGTCCAGAGAGGTCTGTTTCTGGCATCTCTTTAAGATTTGCCTGAAATGGGACAAGGCACTGTCATTGAACATGTTGCAGACACGGCCTGCAACAGCTCTGTTAGGGTGATATTTCTCCACAAAACTTTGCAACTCGCTCCACTTTGCACACATGTCCTTAACCCCTTCAGGGTCCAAGGCTAAAATCTGAAGTGGTGCCCCAGTGTCCAAGAATTTAAAAAAAAAAAAATTTGTTATTTTTTCTTATGAAATGGTAGAGAATCTTTTTGTGAAGGTAATAAAACAAAAATTATGAAATTTGATGGAAAATTGATGAAATTATGCTCTCATGAATTTTGATGTGTCAGCGATATTTACGAATCGGCGATTTTGCCGATTTTGACTCCCATTTTAGGCCAATTACATTATTCCGCTTGACCAAATTCTTAGCTATTTCACTAGTATTACTTCTATTCTATCGATTGAGCACAATAAATCGCCAGGTCAACTGTTTCAACAACAAAATAAAGTGATCGGAAATTGGTAATTTGGCCAATTTAACACAAAGTTCAAAATATTCCAATTTCAAAATAGGGTCCAGAATAAACAATGTAGATATTCCTGGCACTAAACTAACATTTCCTCTGTTCATTAGTTACGTTTTGAGGCTTTACAAATAAATTCCATTTTGATTTTTTATTCACATAATGAATTTTTATTCACACCAAAAAATAGATTTACCGTTATGCAATATTGTAATAATTGTATAAATATCATCACCACATTTGTGAATATATATTAGACCCACCAGCTTATTAGACGTGTGAGGTCCTTTGTTTACTCTTGAACATCTGCAAAAATTTAACATTTCCGCTACTTTGAGCTCAGTTTCAAGCCATTTCCTGTGCTAAAACCAATCAAAATCATCTCTATTTTTGTAATATGTCTTCCATTCTATCAAATGAGACCAAGAAATCGCAAATACAACTATAAAAAACACATGAAAAAACACTGCAAAGTTGCTGTTTTAATCGAAAATCATGGTCTCAGTTTTTTCTCTCATCATACACAGTGTGCTGCAGGATTTGTTTTATGTGGTGCACACATACCACATAGATGTATTCTCTCATATCTAGGCCCAAATGTACCACACAGTTTATCAGAGTGAGCTGAGCTCATGGCGTAGATCTACGGTTTGGACCCTGAACGTAAAGCCGTAGATCTACGGGACAGACCCTGAAAGGGTTAATCATTGAAGAAGGCACATTCTCCCCTCTCTCTTCCTAGTCCTCTGAAGCAATTTTCTCAGCTGCAATCTGCTGCTGTTCCAGTTGAAGGTGTTGCAGCTCTTCAGTGGTTAGCTCTTCCCTGTAGTCATCCACCAACTTTTCCACATCCTGGCCACTCACATCCAACCCCATGGACTTCCCCAAAGCCACAACAGATTCCACAACAGGTGTAGGGTTGTCAGGGTCAGCCTCAAACACTTCAAAATCCTTTTCTTGGATACATTCTGGCCACAATTTCTCACCTTTATCAAAGGGCTGGCACTCGGAACTTTCTTTGGCCCCATGGTGGCTTATTTAGCAGTCGCACTCAATAAACAAGCACAAAAAACAATGGATTATTACGAAATGTTTTGTATGAAAGCGCAGTGTAATGTTCACTCGACGAGAAACAGCCAGACTGACTCAGAACGCGTGCGTGGGATGCTTTGTGTGGACATGGGCAGTCACGGTCGGTACAGCGGATGAAAACTGAGGTAATGAACAAAAACTGGGACAAAATTTTGACGAAAAAAGTCGTTGAAAACCAAATTCGACAAAATCCAGGACAAACGAAAACCAAGGTTCCACTATATATAAAAGACAATTAAAAACAAAATACTATTTTCCATAAGCAAATAAACAAAAATTCTGACAGAGTAGTAATGCCAAAAGATTAGAATTAATAAAAATGTATTAAAATTTTTAAGTCAGAAAAAGGCAAATATAGAAACTTAGAACACAGCACTGTACAAAAGATGATTGCTTGAATCTTAAACCTTTTTCAAACACCTTAAAAAGAGCAACCTTCCTACAAATGCTATGATCCCAGAGACATCAGCAAGTGTATCAATGGTAGAATCCATCAACAAGTGTGTCAGTAAGACATGATATGAGGTCTGTGGCATTTTATTGAGAAGACATTTTGACTACCCGGCACTGGTGGACGAAGCGTTTTTCAATAAAACACCATAAACTGAGTGTAGTCGGGCCTCATAACGTGGTTTTTGCGCACGTCCTACAACTCCCCCAGCGCATCTAGGTTCCCGTTCTCTATTTCTGACCAATCACAGACCTTCCCTGAGTCGCCCAGGCTGAGCGGTGATGGCGGCTGCTCGCTTCCCATTGGTCGAGACAGCAGAATGTAAACACTTCTACCTTGCCGGCGCCAAAACTCGTGTTTCTCGGTATAGTGCTCCTTATATACTGAAGCATTTCACCAAATACAATGTCGGTAAGTACTGATTTGTGTGTCTAGTGTGTAAATGAATAGTTTAGCCATATTTTGATATATATATGAAGGCGTTGTGAAGCATATTACGAGTGCACCATGCACATGAACAAAGTGCAACAAAATAGGAACAAGCCCAGTCGTTCCTGCCCTTTTAGGTGCAGTTTTCAAGTTTCGGTATATAAATATTTCCATAAAATTTGGTAGTGTATATATGAATTCAGTAATGGTCTGGGTGTGTACAGAATGTTTTTATTGTCCTTCCAGATCAATAAGAAATTGTTCTACGGTGAGTCCTCCAAGGCTACCTCGAAATTTGTCTGTGTTTGGATGATACTGAGTCAGATCAAGACTCAGATGACATGGATTTCCTGGATAGTGAGGATGAATTCTTGCCACCAGATGCAGAGGTGTCAACAGATGGGGAGGAGGAAGCTGGGCCACCACCAAAAAAACAAAAAGTGAACAAGAGGAAGAAACGTATTACTATGGAGGAATACCCTGATGAAGAAGTGCTTCAAGATGATCTTGCTTCTCAAGTAGACACCAAATGGAAGAATGAGGACATCCACAATGACCCTTTGCCTAAATATGAACATAAAAAGCCTGTTGAAGTTAGGTGTGCATATGATTATTTTACAGACTTTTTTACTCAAGACATGATAGACAACATTACATTTCAAACTAATTTGTATGCCAGGCAAAAAGACATACATACTACTTTTCAAACAGATTCTGAGGAAATGACTAGGTTTATAGGTATTCTGTTGTATATGGGTTACACTGTACAGCCATCCATTGAGGACTATTGGAGAAGTGCAAGTAGGACAATTCAAGTTGCAGAAGTCATGGGATCAAAGAGGTTTAGGTTGCTGAGGCGTACCATTCATTTCAATGATAACACACAAAAGAAGGATAATGACAGATTCTACAAAATAAGGCCTCTTTACAATGGACTAACTAAAGCTTGCTTGAAAGTTCCAGCTACACCCAAGCAGTCTGTTGATGAAGTTATGGTTGCTTTCAAGGGTAAAACAGCTGGAAACCTAAGGCAATACATCAAAAAACAAACCAGACAAGTGGGGTTTCAAACTCTTCTGTCGTAGCAGTGAAGATGGAATCATACATGATATACTGATGTATCAAGGTAACCCAACTTTTGAGAACCATCACATAAAGCTGTCAAATGAAGAAAATAAACTCCCAATGAGTTCCAGGATTGTTCTTGTACTTGCAGCATCTCTTGACCAAAGAAAAACATCAGCAGTCTATGCTGATAATTTCTTTTCAAGTCTACCTTTGGTCAAGGTACTGAGAGACAAGTATAACTGCAGGTACACTGGAACAATACGTGATAATAGATGTGGTAAGCCACAACTGATGCCTGTGAAAGAAATGCAAAAGAATAATGTGGCCAGGGGCTATTTTGATTTCCAAAGCAATGATCATATCCTTCTTGTAAGATGGAAGGACAACAAAGTTGTGACTCTAGTCACAAATGATGTCGGAGTTTATCCTTTGGGTCTTATTGAAAGATATGACAAGGCATCAAAGAAGAAAGACCACTTTGAGTGCCCAGGCATCATCAAGAACTACACGCAAACATGGGAGGTATC